TATATATATATATAAGAAAAGATTGTGATTGACACTTCAGCTGATTTCTTTATAAGTGGTAATAAATTATAAAAAGTATTTCTTTTAATTTGAAAACATCAGAGATAGCTGCATTACGACAACATGATATTGAAATTAAGAAAATAAAATAAAATCTCTGAGCGAAAGTTGAAAATAAAAGGAATTTTTAGTTAACTTTGTTTAACAGAGATATTTGGATGAAAGAGGATCGGATAATCGATGTTCTACACCAGTGTTTCCCAAACTTATAACTTTTGTGTACCCTTTCTAAATTTTTCGTAAAGCTGTGTACCACTAATAAAAAATGAATGTATTTTTTACTATAAAAAATTGCACGAAAGTTAAAAATCACAACTGGCTGTTGACACCACTAATTATTAATTTTTAACTTTGCAAAAAATAGCCAATAGAAAAATACGTAATCGTAAATTTTCATGGCTAGCTTTATTTTTAAATAAAAGTTTTTGAAATTTCCGTTTGTTGCAAAATATTTCGCATAAGAACGCGTACCCCCGCTAAACTGCTCCCGTACCCCTAGGGGTACGCGTACCACACTTTGGGAAACACTGTTCTACACTATAAAAATCAACTCTTATAAAACATTTCAAAACAGTTTTTTCTCGTTTAGCTGGTAAAAATAATTTTCACGATATCTTACATTTTCTAATATTGATGGCAAATACTTTTTTATGAATAGCTTTTTTTTCGGATAGTTTATTACAAAAAGTTGATGCCCCGTGCTGCCTAACCATAAACATCTTTGAAATATCAAAAGCAGTTATGGATGAAGGTTGTTCAAATACACAAAGAGGGTTTTTTATATATTTTATTATGAAAAACATATTACTCTCTATAAAGTAAGAATTATTATCTTTCCAATAAAATGTCCAAGGAAGAGCTTTTTATTTTCAATTTTTATTGCATACTTTTTCTTATTTTGACCTCAAGTCTCGAGAGAATAAACGTGAATCCCAATTTTTATCATAAATAATGTTTGCAATTTTATCAATTTTTAATAATATTGTCAAATTTTCCTTTAACTTAAAAAAATCCAAGAAGCTGCGAAATTTCTCAGACAAAATTAAGAAAAAAAACTTTTTTTAGCAACTTGTAAAATGCTATATTTTGTAATTAAAAAAGCATGCAATTTTCTTCCGTTATTGCATTGAGGAATATTTTATAATCCTTTTATTAAATACTTCAACTGGTTTCATAATAAAATAATGAAACATCAACAAAAGAAATTGTTTCTGTTGTATAACGATTTCATTTTTTTTATTCTTTTAATTCCTCTTTTTGTATCCATTTAGATTTGTATTATTTCGAATTTTAGTTACTTATTTAATATATAAAGCTTTTCTTAATTATGAAATAAATTTTTTTAGTTCCTTTTTATACTCGTAATTTGTAAATACGGCATCCGAAAAATAGGTTTTAAATTTTCAAAATAAAACCGTATCTATGAATCAATAAATGCTGTTACGTATTAATGGGTCAGTAAACAAACTTATGAGTCTTTCCGTTTATTAAATACTTTAAAGGGATTAATGAAAAAAATAATGCTATCATTAACAAAAGAAATTGTGTCTGTTATATAACATGATTTCATTTTTGTTTCCCTT